CCGAGATCGATTCACAACATGAGTAGACAGCATGTAGTAGTTCACATGTTCGTGAGTCATGAATGTCATGGTACCCGTACCACAATGTCCCAATGTCCCGACTGGATGACATGATACAATCGCATGTGTGGCATGTGTGGCATGTGTGGCACGTGTGTGGGAATGTTGGCAGTTGCCACGAACATCCACCACATGCAATGCAGGTAGATCACTAAACATTGGCCACAAGTGAAAACATGAAGTGTTACATGAGACCCGTGACCATGAGTATCCGGAATGACCACACCATTGCCACACCATGCAATCACTATGAGCATCATGCTATCCCGCGATGACATTGCCGAATGTTCAGAGTGTATGTGTGGGTGCCATAAACATGTGATATCCGTCTCAACACTGGCATGAAAGCATGAACCCAACCCTCGCATTCCTGTATGTAATGTGGGGCCCGCCTGAAACCATTTGGCTCAGACCTTCATTCAAGATCCGAGTCATATAGCGACTCACGGTCGCTTCTTGTATCGGCCGGCTCAGTTCCGATCGTATCACCGTACGGGTGCCGTCGGAGGTGTACCAGGGCACGTCAACCTCGTCGACCTGGTAAAACTCCAGACACCTTTCGAGCAGCGCCGCGCCCTGGAGGTTGCCGAAGAGCTGCTGGATGCTGGTCACGTTCTCGAAGAGATCAGCGTCCTTCACGTCGGAAGGACTCTTCTTCGACAACGAACCGCTGGGAGGGTCTGGCCGGGCCGGGGCGCTTGCGGCTGACGTGGTTGATGCATTCGCCATGTCTGGACACTTCGACACTGAGGTCACAAGGTACGCAAGGACGTGCTGGATAGCTGATAGCTGGCTGAATGCGAGCCGACAAACACACCACAGGCACCACAGGTCAACACAGGCTCAACACAGGGCCACAGTCAGTGATATGATGGGGCCTATGATTCATGACGAAAGATATGTGAATACATGTACATGTAGACTCTTTGCCCCGCCCGCCCCATGCAGGACATGTGCAGCATGTGACAGCCCCTCTGATAAGCACTGTCAGACTAGGTGCACTACCCCGTTCGCCAGGCGATCGCGAGCCACACGGTGTCTCACATGTCCTGTCCGCAGAACACACAACATGATCAACATGACACGGCTACAACTTGTTTCTGCAACATCACACGAGTGTCGCCAGGCTGATGGTCCTGGCCACCCCGTTGACATCTCAATACCTCGATTCGGAGTTTGTCCTTAGCACCCACCTCAAGCAGTGCTTCACCAGACACTACATGTGGTGCAAGTTTGTGTGGAGTCACTCACTGCATCATGTAGGCTTTGACGTCTATTTTGTTTCGCGCCGTTGTGGCTGACTGATGTCGCCACAATCATATGGCCCCATATGGCCCCATGGTCCCCACGGTCCCATGGTCACTCGTAGTCCCCATGGGCCCATGGCAATGTTCCCCTGTGGCGTCAAATCACGGCTCAGACGGTTAACGGCTAAGAGCCTAAGAGCTAAAAGCATAAACTGCAGAAGACCCTAACTACATGCCTAAGGCTCTAACAGACGAAGTACGAAACACTGAATAACCACTTATCACCAGTCAGCCTATACCAGTGCCAAGGATGGGCCAAGGATCATGTTTAGTCACTGAGCCGTGACGCCGCACCGAATTGAACAATGCAGATCATTGAGCATGAGTGCAGGAAAGATGCGTGTTGCATACATCATGCTGCACTACACGGCCGACAAATGCACATTATTCGACAGAGTGAAATGCATTTAAACAAAAACATCAACATGCAAACCAATGCATGTGACCACTACTCAGGATGCATGTGACAGTGAGCAAATGTCGCCGTGTCGTGTTCTATGGCTTATTGGTCCCACGCTGCACGCCAATGTGCCTCAGGTGGCTACCCGAGTCACCCAAGACAAACTTTGTGCATGGATGTATACCTCCAATGTATGACTTATGGCTCGTGACTGCTATAACTACGAATATCACATGGCATCCTCGTTTGGCAGCACTGCCAACTTGACGATCGTGACATGTCACGGCGACATGAGGCACCATGCCATGAGCATGGCGTGAAATGAACCAGTGAGTCTGGACATCAAGCATCATGATACATGCCAACGTGTGCAGGGCTCTTGCCCCTGACTCTGAACCGCATCTTCTTCAAAGGTGGCTCGGCATCGAAGTGCTGGATCTGACGGTTGGCTTTCCTGCACGTGGAGGATGATTGGACCCGCGTGCCCAAAGTTGACTACTACGAAAACAATTCGAGTGACGCTACGACCAAAAAGCAAAACCCCGGCCCCAGCACTGTCCGGACTGCGCCGCGGGACAGGCGGATGTTGGCCAGCAGGGAAGGCAACTGTCGCCGCTCGAATGCCAGCAACCCGTGGAGGTTGATCACTGTCATGACGGCGACATTCATGCTGTTTCCAGCCTGGACCAACATCCCCCGTGAGGTGCGTCCCTGTCTCGGCAGGTTGAAGCTGCAGAGCACAGGCTGTTCTCCCTGTGGACCCGTCCACAATCCAGGTACCACGGGGAAGCACTGTGTTGCAAGTGCTTCACTGCCCACCAGCCACCTCTTGGGGACTACAGACGGATGGTCTGCCCACAGCATATGCATGTTGGCAATGAGTGTCTGTAAGTGTCTGTCGGTCGACGTGTTTGCGAAGCCGGCTGCTGGATTTTGATTAAGTGCCCACACCTGGTTTGGATGCATGAGTTCGTACGACGAACGGATGAGTTCCTCTCCCTCATTCAAGGCAGCGAGCCACACCTCTGGGCGGCGTACATCCGAAGGCGTCAAGCAATCAGGTCCAAGGGATGCGGCTTGGCTGGTCGGGCGTCCACAGGCCCACCTCAGCTCCTGTAAAAGCTCGTCTTGGACAGGAACCTTGCTCTCCGAGTCCAAGAATTTGTGTTGGAAGAAGTACCTGGACGGATCGTTCAAGATGTTGGAAACTCAACACTACTTCAGAAACTTAAGAGGACTGACTCACACGGCACACCGCACACACAGGCTCACTGCGGCGGACTCGCACGTAGAAAGAAATGACATGAGCCAACTAACGAAACGACTTCACTGCACTTGAACCATGTCATGACATGTAGCGCT